GTATGTAAATCCAGTTCCAGGTGATCCAACGCCTTGTTCTGGCCTCTACTGATATTGCACACATATGGTGCATGTGCAGATAAAAAACTCATATACATAAAATATAAGTAAATCTTTCAAAAACATCTGAAATTGCAGACATGTACTTCCTGGACTTCTGGCTTGCTTATTTTTTTCTGGAGGGGAAGGGTGGTTGCACGCATACTGGAGATCAACCTAGAAACTTCTACATGCTAGACAAGTCCTCTACCCCTGACCCATACTTGCAGTGGCTTCTTTTTCTTTTAACTTTGTCCTAATAGTCGAAATAATTTGGGGGACTGGGGATGTAGCTCAGTTGATAGGGCATCTGCCTGGCATGTATGAAAACCTGGGTTCAATCCCCAACACCATAATCAGGCATGGTGATGCACACTTGTAATCTCAGGACTCAGGAGAGAGAGGCAGAAGGACCAGAAGTTCAGTGTCATTCACAGCTATATAAAGAATCTGGAGGCAACCCAAGATGCATGAAACCCTCTCTCAAAAAAATTGGGGTGCCTGGTATGGTGACCACTTAGGAAACCAAAAAGAAAGATTTCTGTCAAATGTTACATAAATTCATATTATGAAAGCCACGTGGGTTTTTTTTTTTTCTTTGTCTTTTTGAAGCAGGGTCTCCTTGTAGCCCCAGCTGTCCTGGAACTCACTATGTAGACCAGGCTGGCCTTGAACTCACAGAGATCCACCTGCCTCTGCCTCCCAAGTGCTGGAATTAGCTTTTACTTTTTAAGTCCTATATATTTTATGAACAGCTTCACCGAGACATAGTCATATAGCACAAAATTCACCCTTTTATATAATTCATTGATTTTTTTTCTTAGCATATACAGTTTTGGGACCATCACCACAATCTAATTTTAGGGCATTTTCTTTATCCCAGAAAGAAACCTTGTGCCCACTTAACATCACTTCCTGCCTCCATGTCCCCACCCACCCCAACACTACATAGTCACTAACTCCTGTTCCCATATGTGCCTGCTCTGGATACTGCACAGAGACAGAATCGTATGCTAGGTGGCCCTTCATTTGTTTTTGGTTTTTTTTTTTTTGTTCATCATGTATTCAAGGTTCATCCAATTGCTATGTATACCAGTACTTCATTCCTAGCCAGGCGTGCTTCTGTATGTAGCCCTAGCTGCCCAGGAGGCTGAGGCAGGAAGACCATAGGAGTACAGATTAGCCTAGGCAACACAGCAAAACCATGTCTAAAAAAAAAAAAAGTAGCCAAATGTGGTGGCACATGCCTTTAATACCAAAACTTGAGATGCAGAGGCAGGCAGATCTCTATGAGTTCAAGGTCAATTTGGTCTACATAGTGAGTTCCAGGCCAGCTGGGGCTACAGGGAGACCCTGTCTCAAAAAGACCGAAAAAAAAAAGATGTACTGCTTCCTTTAAATAGCCAAATAATATCCCATTATACAGCCACAGCACCTGTTCTTTATCCATTTGATTTGACAATCCACACTGCATGGACGGTTTGTTTCTACTTCTTGGCCATTCTGAACAATATTTCACATACAAGTTTTTATATGGATATATGTTTTCAGTTCCCTCATACATGTTTAGTAGTAGGCTAAGACATACAGTAACTTTTCATTTGATTTTTTTTTCCGAGACAGAGTCTCAATCTCTATATGTAACTCAGGCTGGCCTTGAGTTTGCTATGCATCCCAGGCTGACTTCAAACTTGTGATCCTCCTGCAGCAACCTCCCAGGCACTGGGATCACAAGCTTGTGCCACGATGCCTGGCTTCTTATATTCAGCTTTTTGAGAACCTACCAAACCATTTTCCAAAGCAACTATGGGTTTCCAAAGCAACTATGAGGTTTATCCTTTTAATACCATTGATAATGGCTCAGATATCTTTTAAAGATTAATTTTTGAGCCTGGTAGTGCTGCCAGGCCTGATGACCTGAGTTTGATGTTGGATCCCACATGGTAGAAGGATAAAACCGACTCCCACAAGTTGTCATCTGACCCCCTCTGTGCACTGTAGCGTTGCCCCCCCCAATAAAATTACTGTAATAAATTTTTTTAATGTAATGAAAACCAGAGGCCCTGTGAAGAGCACCATCCAATCAGATGTAGGTAGGAGGGGCACAATCCTCCAGTGTCTGAGGTTAGCTCATGTCAAGAATTTATTTTGAGGTGACAGCTATCAGGCTGAACCTCTGTTTATGGCTGCTATGACATCAACTTAAACATGCACAGACAGCGATCAAATAGTCATAGTCTGGGGCTTGAGTTCTAATGTCACTGCATTTTCAAGTCTGTCTCTAATCACTGTGGTGCTGCTGTACCACAAGTTTCTATTTAAGGTGTCACCTATCACCTAGTCACCTGTCACTTTTGCTTCCTTGTTGCCTGAATTCTTTTTTATTTATTTAATTTGGTGTGGGTGTTTTGTTGTTGTTGTTGTTTGTTTTGTTTTTTTGGCCTTTTTGAGACAGGGTCTCTCTGTAACCCCAGCTGTCCTGGAACTCACTATATAGACCAGGCTGGCCTTGAACTCACAGAGATCTGCCAGCCTCTGCTTCCTGAGTACTGGGATTAAAGGCGTGCACCACTATGCCCAGCTTTAATTTGGTTTTTTAAGGCATAGTCTCATATAGCTCAAGCTGGCCTCAGTCTCCATATACAGCTGAGGATGACCTTGAACTCCTGATTTTCCTGCTTGCACCTCTGAAGTACTGGGATCACAGGCCTTCCCCATCCTATCCAGCTGTTCCCTGAATACTAGGACTTGTGTCTGACTGCCTTGGATGGGATCTTGGCTTTATCAAGGATTAGCTGTGTGGTGTTGGGAAGTCATTTAGCCCATTTATCTCTGTTTTCTTATCCTTAAAATAAAGGAAACAAAAGCATTTTTAGTCAAGCGTGGTGGGGCACACCAGGATTCCCAAAACTTAGGAAGTACAGCCAGGAGGATGACAAGCTCTATGCTAGCTTGAGCTACATAGTAAGAACCTGTCTAAAAAAGAAAGTACTTCAGAGGCTGGGATGCAGCTCAGTTGGTAGAGCACTTACCTAGCCTGCATGAAGCCCTGGGTTCAAACCCCAGCACTACATAAACTGGGCGTAGTGGCACATGCCTGTAATCTCAGCACTCAGGAGGTGGAAGATGGAGGATTAGCAGTTCAAGGTCATCCTTGGCTATATAGAGAATTTGAAGCCAGCCTAGACTACACAAGTCCCTGTCTGCAAACAAAAACAAAATAAAAAACGAAGTACTTTGAGTAGAGCTAGCCTGATAATTAAGTGAGATAATGTCTACAAAGCCCTTTAGAACAGTGTCTAGCAAAAGATAGATATGGTTTAAGAGTTTGCTATGACTCTCAGTGCTGTCATCATTATTGCTATATATACAAATATTCCTCTACTTATGAAGGAGCAATGTCCCAGGAAACTTACCATAAGCTGACAGGTTGAAATGCCTTTCGAACCTCATAGCTGAGCCGCACAGTCCTGTGCAGAGTACAGGCTGTTTTGCTCAAGATTGCCTGGGCGTCTGGGAATAGCAGCTTGCTGGAGAGAAGATGAACGGCATATGGCTAGCCCAGTAACTCAAAGTACAGTCTCTACTGTGTGATGCAAAACAGGGCTGAATGTATATGGCTTCCCATTCTTCATAAAGGCAATCCATGGTTAACTGAGTCATAGGAAATCAGAGACTATCCACATTGGGACTACAGCTTACAAAGATAAGTAGACAACATTGAACTGGATTCTGTGTATAAGCCTATGCCTGACCAAGCTGTGACACCTTTTAAAAAATATATTTAGGGGCTGGAGAGATGGCTCAGCGGTTAAGAACACTGGCTGTTCTTGAATCCCAGCACCCACATGGCAGCTAACAACTGTCTGTAACATCAGTTCCAGGGGATCTGTTAGTCTCTTTTTGCCTCTGCAGGCATTGCATGACACGGATGCACTTACCTACATGCAGGCAATGCACACATACACATAAAATAAAAATAATAAAATATTTTTTAAAAAACATAATTTAAAAGCCGGGCATGGTGGCAAATGCCTTTAATCCCAGCACTCAGGAGGCAGAGGCAGTTGGATCTCTGTGAGTTCAAGGCCAGCCTGGTCTACATAGTGAGTTCCAGGACAGCTGGAGCTACAGGGAGACCTTGTCTCAAAAAGACCAAAAAAAAAAAAAAAAATTACATTTAGCTGTGGTGGCACAATGGCTTTAATCCCAGCGCTTGGGAGGCAGAGGCAGGCCTGGTTGCCATAGTGAGTTCCAGACCAGCTGCAGCTACAGGGAGATCCTGTCTCAAAAAGATGTGTGTGTGTGTGTGTGTGTGTGTGTGTGTGTGTGTGTGTGTGATTTTATGTATATGTATGTTTTTACCTGCATGTATATAAGTGCACCTGTATTGTGCAGTGCCCAAGGAGGCCAGAAGAGGGTGTTAGAGCCCCTGGGACTGAAATTATGGATGGCTGTTAGCCATCATGTGGGTGCTGGGAATGAAACCTGGGTCCTCTGCAAGAGTAGTCAGTGCTCTTAACCACTGAACCATCTCTGCAGTCCCACATCTAAAAAACATAAAACCCAAAAACCAAAAAAAAAACAAGATCTGGCTTCAAACCCTTGATCCTCCTGCCTCAGGCTTCAGAATGCTGAGATTACAGGCATGAGCCACCACTCCTGGCTTAGTCCACTACTCCCCCCACCCCTCGCCCGGCTGTGAACCCACAGAGATCTGCCTGCGGGCCTCTACCTCCTCAGTGCTGGGACTAAAAGCGTGTGCACTACCACTACTTCTAAGGTCACTGTACTAACCTGCTTTCTCCCTGCCTGCTAAGAATGTCAAATGCTCCCCCTGCTGGACAACCCCTCCAGCTTGGCCTGAGCTCCAGAACCTGCCAAATCTGGGTACAGTGAAGTGGGTTGATTGCCCTTTAAGAGGTGGTAGCTAGTTTCTGGTTACTATGGAGACAGTAAGACACAAGCTGGCTGGCCTCAGTCAGTATGTCTTCCAAGTCTTCCAAAGTTTCTTCCACAGGTGGGCAAAGGGCTGCTGGGCTGGGTTAGGTGGAGGGAGGGAGGAGATGTTTCTCTCTCACAACCCATCTGAGGATGGTCTTAGTGGATTCATGAGGACAGAATTCAAGACTTCGGTACCTCTGTCCACCCCAGCCATTTCCCCCAGGTTCTGACATCTTAGTTTCTTCCTTTTATAGGTTCCAAAGCCAAGGACCACCAGCCCTCAGGCCAGCAGCAGGAGCCATTCCCAGAGGCAAATGCTGAAGCCATCAACTTCCTCAACTCCTTCCGTGAGCCCAGATAGTAGGGATGGGGATGGGGGTGCAAGTTTGGGGAGAAAGGGAGAGAAAAAACAAGACAGTTACTTTCTCTCTCAGCTTCATTCTACTGAGACTCGGAAAAGGCCTGGGGCCTATATGTTTGTGGAGGGACAAGCCCAAGGATACAGGAGAGGGATCTTCACCAGCGGGCACCTGCTGGTAGCTAGGAGACTCTAGAAGACATGGGGGTGTGCAGTGAGGACCTCCTTTCAAGCTATCCCAGACTCATGTTCTCCTGTGACTTCAGCATTTGCCTCCCTGTACCTCAGATTACCTCACCAAGAAACTGGAGCCCATGGAACAACACAGTCATGAGTTCATCAAGGTGCAGTATAGGGTTCAGAAGGCTGGGCCTAGAGAGTGGTTTCTCTTCACCTCTACAGGGATGGAGGAACTGCTGTTACTGTTCTTCTCAGAGACCCTGGCCATCATCTCGGACACAGGGGAGCCTCAGGGAGAGCTGACCATTGAGGTGCAGAGAGGAAAGTACAAGGATGATCTGGGCATCATGTCCCACTGCCTCCTGGTACATGCCTTTAGCCGAGGCTTCCTAGATAAATCGCTCTGTGGAAACTCCCTCCTAGGTAGAGTTTCAGTTCCCCCTCACCAAATCCTCCCTCTACCATATCTTCCTTCCACTGCCTTCACCCCACTTCATATGTCCTCAGTCGGGATCTGCCTTTTGACTTCCCTTGGGACCAGAGTAAGGCATAGGGCAGGGAGACAGCCACAGACTAAGGACAAGAGGAGTGCTGACCACCCTGTAGTTCTGCTGTCACTGCACCCAATCCTCCAGTCTGGGCCAGCACCGTCCTTTCAAGCTATCCCAGACTCATGTTTTCCTGTGACTTCAGCATTTTCCTCCCCGTACCTCAGGTTACCTCACCAAGAAACTGGAGCCCATGGAACAACACAGTCATGAGTTCATCAAGGTACTTCCTAGCTTCTCCCCAGCCTTGCCCCCAAGAGGGGGCAGAGACCCTGTGAGAGTCGGGAGGGCACCAATAGAATACCGCCATACAGTCTACCATCTGCCTCACCCCTACCACACATAGCTTGAGAATCAGCCATCGTCAACACTGATGCCAGTGTCCTCCAGATACACAAATTGAACATAGCTCACAGTGGACTGCCTGTCCACTCTCTGGGGCCATGTGAACTGGTCTTTCCCAGAGCCTGGCTATTCCCTTGGAGATCTGTACCCCTCACCCAGCCCCTTCATTAACTTCCTCTATGGGGCCATGACCTATCTAAATTTTGAAGCAACTTGAGCCTTCTCACAGAATCCGTTTCCATCTTTAAACCTTTTAGCTTTCCTATTGCATAGTATGGCCCAATTCTTGACCTGTACTGTAAACGGAAGGCTTCCTTCCCTACCTCCCTTCCTTCTTCCCTCCCCCCCCGTCCTCTTCCTTCTCCTTCTTCTGTTTTGTTTTTTGTTTTTTGAGACAAGGTCTCAGCATTTAACACTAGCTGGCCTGGAACTCTCTATGTAGATAAGGCTCGCCTCCAACTCACAGAGATCCACCTGCCTCTGCCTCTGGGGTGCTGGGATTAAAGGTGTGCACCACCAGCCCAACCCCCTTTGTTCCTTTTTGAGACAGTCTCATGGCCAGACTGTCTATACGTAGCTGTGGATGACTTTGATCTCCTTGCCTCCACCTCCATAGTGCTAGGATTGCAAGCATGGACCCTCACCTAGATCAGAAGACTTTTTGTTTTTCTGTATGTCTTGTTTTTTTTGTTTTATTAAAACAAAGACTTTATGTAGCCAAGGTTGCCTTCTGCTCGGCCACTCAAATGCTGGGATTATAACTATGCATCACCATATCCAAATGTTTGTCATTTTTTAACTTTTATTATTATTATGTGGGGGACACATGTAGAGGTCAGAGTCAGAGGACAACTTGTAGGAGTTGGTTCTTTCCTTCCACTGGAGACTGTAAGATCCAGGGGTTGAACTCAGATCCTCAGATTGGTGTGGCAAGTGCTTTTAGCCACTGAACCATCCCATGGGCCCTGGTTATCTTTTTTTTTTTTTTGAGACAGGGTCTCCCTGTAGCCCCAGCTGACCTGGAACTCGATATGTAGACCAGGCTGGCCTCGAAGTCACAGAGATCTGCCTGCCTCTGCCTCCCAAGTGCTGGGATTAAAGGCATGCGCCACCACCCCCCAGCACTGGTTATCTTTTTTTAAAGATCCAAACATTTACACTTCCATTTTCTCATTTATAAAGGAGAATGGAGGCTGGGTGTATGCCTTTAGTCCCAGCACTCGTGAGGCAGAGGCAAGCAGATCTCTGGGAGTTCAAGACCAGCCCTGTCTACATAGTGAGTTCCAGGCCACCTGGGGCCACAGGGAGACCCTATCTCAAAAAGACAAAAAAAATAAATAAATAAAGAGAGAGAGAGAGAGAGAGAGAGAGAGAGAGAGAGAGAGAGAGAATGGAATTGGAATTGAGTGTTGTGGGCTGTTGCCTATAATCCTAGCACTTGGAAGGTAGGAGAATTAAGGTAGGATAATTTTTGCGAGTTCACGGTTAGCCTGGTCTACACAGTGAGTTCCAGGCCAGTCTGAACTGTCTTATCTCAAAAAACAAAATACAAACCAACAAAACTGAAGAATAGCTAGGAGACAGCCTTTCTCTCTGGAGTGAGCACCTGATTCTCCTATGTGCTCTGGTCCTTAGTTCCCCATCCTCCCCATGGAACGGAAGATGAGCTTACTGAAGGAAGATGACCAGATGGTTGTGACCACAAGTGTCAAGGAGGGTGAGGTAAGGATGAAAGCCAGATGGGAACAACCTTCCACATCTGCAGAACCATAGCAGGGCAAGCTTGTGTAAGGCCAGGACTGAGGCCTTGCCAAGAATCACGCACTCAACACCCTGCTTGCACACCTCCTGGCCCCTTCCTGGCTCCAGGTTCCTGACTTAGATCTGTCCCAAACAGGAAGTGAAGACTGGCATCACTTTTTTCCCTTGGCACTCACTTGCGGGCTTCATCTCTAGTGCTGCCAATTTGGTGCTGCTGAGGGTGATGGCCTGGCGGCAGACAGTGCCCAACGATGCTCGTTTCCTGGCCTTGGACACAGAGGGCAAACTCTGCTATTGCACTTATGTGAGGGCTTGCTCTAGCGGTGGGGGGAGGGGACTTGTCTGGGGCCAGACTAGAAGGGGCATGAGGGCCACTAAGGTGGGAAAGACAGTTGTGGAGTGAGAGAGGGCGTCAGGCAGGTAGGATATACATCAATAAATCAGGAGGCAGGAATGAGAGATTCTAGGGCAGCAGCAAGCAAGAGCTGGATTTGGCACAGGGAAGGCTAAGGGTGGGGCAGGTGGAATTAGTGAGGGAGATCAAAAGGTGGGGACAGTTAAGGAAGCAGCCCACTTTGCACAAAAGTCAATCTGTGTGAAAAATAGTGGAAGGACGTTTTTAAAAATATATCCTCTAAGATTGGAGAGATAGCTCGGGGTGTAAGCATGAGAATGTGAGTTCAATCCCCAGAACTGGAGTGGTGAAGAGAGCCTGGCTGAATCAGTGAGCCACAGGTCCCAGTAAGAGACCTCATCTCAAAAAACAAGGTGAGGGCTGGAGAGATGGCTCAGTAGTTAAGAGCACATATTGCTCTTTAGGGGATCCATCACCTACATCAGTTGGCTCACAACAGCCTGTAGCTCCAGCTCCAGGGGATCTGACACCCTCTTCTGGCCTCTGCAGGCACACACACTCATACACACATATCCATACACAGATAAACACGTATACACATTTTAAAAACATAAATCTTGCCGAGCATGGTGGCGCACGCCTTTAGTCCCAGCACTTGGAAGGCAGAGGCAGGTGGATCTCTGTGAGTTCAAGGCCAGCCTGATCTACATAGTGAGTTCAGGTCAGCTGGGACTATAGGGAGACCCTGTCTCAAAAGGATAAATAAATAAATAAATAAATAAATAAATAAATAAATAAATAAATCTTAAAAAAAATACAAGCACTCAGGAGGCAAAGGAAGGTGGATCTCTGTGAGATCCAGGCCAACCTGATCTACACAATAAGTTCCAGGCCAGCTAAGGCTACAGGGAAACTCTGTCTCCAAAAACAAAATAAATAAACAAACAAATAAATAAATAGACAAAACAAAACAACAAGGTGGGTGGCTTCTGAAGGAAAAAAAAAAAACCCCAGGTTGTCCTCAGTCCTCTACACACACATATGTGCATACACAAACATACATATACATTCATGTACACACACATACAGAACATATATCATCTAAAGCTGAATATGGTATCTCATGCCTATAATTCCAGTACTTGGGAGGTGGAGACAGAAGTTTTGGGAGTTCAAGGTCACCATGAGCTTATCAAATGAATTTAAGGCCTGCCTGAGCAAACAACAAAAAGACCCACACATCGTACAGGACCTTAAAAAGCTCAGCACGCATTTCACCACCGAGCTATACCCAGCCCAAAGATACGTCACTTTCGTGTTCTTTTTGTGACAGGGTCTTACTACATAGCCCAAACTGGCCTCAACCTCATGATCCTCCTTCCTCAGCTTCCCAAAATGCTAGTATTGCAGGTGTGATCACACCTGGATGATATTATCATTTTTGTGTGCTTGTGAATACATATGTGTGCAGGTGTATGTGAATGTACAAATGTGTTGCATGTTTGTGCATGTGGAGGACAGAAGACAATCTCAGGTGTCTTTTCTTAGGCACTGATTACTTTTTTTTGAGACAGGGTCTCTCAACGGCCTTCACCTCCCTCCCCACACTGGTCCTCATCCCTGTAATGAAATGTGCCAACTAGAAGCACTTCTCCATTGACATGACCCAGGAAGAGGGTGGCAGGGGCTGGCTGAAGCTAGGTCTGAGGGGATCCTCAACTTGGCTTGAGAATGCAAGTCAAAATGCATCTGAGGGCACCTGAGGGACTGGCAGCTAAAGGTTGCTTATCACGGGTGAGTAGGAATGAAGACCTGAGGAGAAGGAAAGGGCTTAGGGAGATGAAGAGACCGTGATCAGTGTCCATCTCATGCCTTCTCCACTTTGGCCACTGCAGCAAGCCCTGGGCTTCCAGATGATACAGGTGGGCCACCAGCAGGCTGAAATGTTCATTGTGGAGCAAACCATCCACTCTGAAGAGGGCATTCCCTTCTCCTGCCAGTTCTACCTTCTCTCTGATGGGTGAGTCACTAATGGGGAGGACCAAGGTCACAATGCCATGTAAAGTATGGGTGCTCAGCCATGAAGAAAGGGCATGGGGTGGGATGGGGCATAGGGGACACTATTCTTCCTAGGGACACCACCAAAAGACTTGCCATTGACATCTGGATGTCCTTTTACCTTGTTCACATCATTCGCTTTTTTTTTTTTTTTTTTTTTTTTTTTTTTGGTCTTTGAGGCAGGGTCTCCCTGTAGTCCCAGCTGCCAGCTGGCCTGGATTTGCTATGGAGACCAGGCTGGCCTCGAACTCACAAAGATCCAGCTGCCCCTGCCTCCCGAGTACTGGGATCAAAGGCGTGCACCACCACACCCTGCCCTCACTATTTTTTTTAATGTGAGCACAGGCTGGCCTCAAACTCATAACCCTCCTGCCTCGGCATCCTGAGTGATGTTATTACAGTGTGCATTGTTTTTTTAACGCGAGATATGACACTTGCCATTATCTGGGACAGTATCAAGTGCTCCAAAATAAAGCAGGTGGTGGAGGGTGGCAGAGCAAACAGAGGCCCCAGGCATCTCTCACTGAGACACTATAAAGTCTTATCTCAGCTGCCATGACAAAATACCACAGGCTGAGCCCACATTCAGGAAGCTGAGGCAGGAGGACTATCCTAAGTCTGAAGCTAACCTTGTTTACAATAGATTCTAAGAAAAAAAGGGGGTTGGCAGCAGGATGGCTCATTGGGTAAGGATGCTTACCTACTTACCACTAAGTCTGATGACTTGAGTTCAATTCCCACATGGTAGAAGGAGAGAACCAACTCCCCCCACAAGTTGTTCTCAGATCTCCACAAAACATTTGCCTATATACACACACAAGCTAAATTTATTTAAAAGTCTGGGCTGGGAGAGATGGCTCAGGGGTTAAGAATACTTGCTGTTCTTCCAGATGACCTGGGTTCAATTCCCAGCACTCACATCGTGAATAAAGACCGTCTGTAAACTCCAGTTCCAGGAGATCTGATACCCTCTCCTTGCCTTTGCAGGGTATTGCATGCACGTGGTGCACTTACATACATGCAGGCAAAATACTCATACACATAAAATAAAAATAATAAAGTATTTTTTAAAAACATAGGCTGGGTGGTTTAAACAACAGAAATTTGTTTCCTCATAGTTTTGGAGACTAGTCGTGCCACCCAGGGTGAGGGCTCTCTTCCTGGCTTGTATTACAAATGTCCTTTCCTGGCCATGTCACCTCTCTCTGCCTGCCTTCTGTGTGCCAGTGGTTAGAGACATCTCTGATTTCTTTTCCAGTTCCGAGCAGGCCAGTCCTATCTTGATTATGCCTTCTTGTAACCTTAGTCACCTCCCCGAGGGGCCCTGTCTCCAAATACCATCACCCCTGGGAGACTGAACTATAACATTATGATCAGCATCACTGAGTCCCTGGATAGTTTAGGAAGACTCTCCACCTTCTGTGTTGCCCTGCAGGCACCTGGCTAAGAGAGTTCAGGTGGGCTCCCCAGGGTGCTGTATCATCACCAAGATGCCCCTCTTGAGGGAAGAGGGTAAGTCAGCCCTGGCCTGGCTGGGACAATGAAGAGGTGGGAGGGGCCCGGACCTTTTTTGGGGTAAGACTCAGTATGTTATGGGCGAGACAGGAGCCTGGAATCAAAGGGACAGACTACCTTTCAGCCCCGGAGTTGAGGTGGATCTCGGCCACCAGCCCCTTCCAGCAACTCTGCCAGGCTTGCGAGTTCCTGGGATCCCTCTGTGTATGGGAGGAAGGTTTTGGACCGGGGTACGCAGTCCCCTTCCTCCATACACACAGATGAGATTGAGCCTCGGCCGGAGTTTGACAAGAAGCCCCTGGTGTGGGAGGAGGATTTGGAGCTGTACTCGAAATTCCTGGACAGGAAGGTGAGAAGCGGCTGCAGCCAGCCTGGGATCCCACCCCTGATGGAGAGTGCAGGCCTGAAAAGGGGGCGGGGGCACCCGGGGGGGGAGGCTTGGGCATCCCGGGGGAGCTGGGACATCCCAGGGGGCTAGGGCACCCCCTCCTAGTTCGGCCATCCTAGGGAGTCTCCGGCTCCGGGAAGCCGCATCCTCAGCTCTGGTGCTCCATTCCCCGCCAGGAGCAGCTGCGTCTCAGCCACACCAGCTATCTGCGGCAGCACCCCGAGGCCCAGGCGCTGGTCTCCGACTTCCTGCTCTTCCTGCTGCTCCGCCGGCCGGAAGATGTGGTCACCTTCGCCGCGGAGCACTTCGGACCCTTCGCAGCGCAGCGCTCGCCGGTCCCCGCCCTGCGCTCCTCCCACCGGCCCAGCCCTTTCCGGCTGTTGGAGGAGGTGGAGGAGGAGGAGGAGGAGCAGGAGGAGGAGGAGGAGGAGGAGGAAGAAGAGGAGATGTTGGAGGAGGAGGAGGAGGAGCAGGAGGAGGAGGAGGAGGAGGAGGAAGAAGAGGAGATGTTGGAGGAGGAGGAAGAGGAAGAAGAGGAGAAAGAGGAGGAGGAAGAGGAAGAAGAGGAGGAAGAGGAGAAAGAGGAGGAGGAGGAAGAGGAAGAAGAGGAGGAGGAGGAAGAGGAAGAAGAGGAGAAAGAGGAGGAGGAGGAAGAGGAGAAAGAGGAGGAGGAGGCGGAGGAGGAGGACGACGACGACTACGAGAATGATGACTATTTCGACGATAATGATGACTACGACGGTGGCAATGGCAATGACGGCGGCGACGAGGACGCGGACGCTCCGGGCTTGAGTCCCGAGGGGAACTAGGTGGACCCGCTTAGAAGCGGGAGACTGACCGACCCGGGGTGGGCTCGCATCCTGGCTGCGGCTTCTGCGGGGAATAAACCGGGTCCTCCTACGGCTCTGCTGTGCACATAGGGACTGTCCCTGGCCTGTGCCTTGTGTAAAAATGGGAACCTTAACTTCGTACTTCGGCAGGTTTCAGCCTTTCTTACTGTTATTTTCCTCATTATCCTATTTCAGAGAAAAGAAAATAAAGGCCTGTATCCAGACGTGGTGGCTCTCAGGAGGCGGAATCAGAAGGATTGCCCTGAGTTCGAAGCTAGCCAGAGCTACACGGCAAGGGCCTGTCTCAAAAACAAACTAAAAGAGAAGGAGGAAGAGTGTAAATGGAGTAGCCAGGGTTGGCCACCTGTAATCCCAGCACTTGGGTAGCAGAGGCAGGAGGACCAGGACACTTTCAGTTACATTCTGTGAGTTTGAGACCAGCCTGGGCTACATGAAATCCTGGTAGGTGGGGGAGCAGAATTTGAACCTGAAGTTGGACGTGAAAGCCCAGGCTTTGTGGTGCTGGGGAGCATCCTGAATCTAAGCATAATCACTGACCAGCTAGGAAAAGAATGCAGAAGAGTGGCGTGATCGGCATGGAACACCCTGCACCCTACCCCATCCCCCTACCCCACCTCACCGCCCCACCCCCACCTTGCTAAGCGAACTTGTGCTCCAGGTCCTTGGTGCCCATCAACAGTACATGAGAGACTCCTCCTGACTGTGCAGGGGACCTGCAGTCACCTGATGGGAAGAAAAAAGAATGGAAATGCCCATCTCCCCATTAGGCTGGCACCAGTTCTGGCCAGTGGCTTGTCTGCCTGATGCTGGCTGTGGGCCCAGTAACCAATGTTAGGCAAATCCTCTGAAGTGGTTGTTAGTGGGGATGCAGGCTCTGCACTTCCATTCATGCCTCAGGTCATTAGGAGCCCTGCTACCTAGAAATGGAAACTCCAGAGGCGCTCTGGGCTAATGGGCAGTATGAGCCCTAGCTAGCTAGCCACAAGGCTGGAGAATGAAGGAGAGGCTGGTGTCTATCACCAGGAAAACCCAAGGACTTCAGGAAGAACTGCCACTGAGCCTTGCAGAATTTTTTTTTTAGTGTCATTAGTTCCCCTCCCTTAAAAAAAAAAAATCACAACTAAGAAAAGGAAAGTAAACCAAGGTTAGACCAACAAAATTATTTCAATTTCTCTACCTAGAGGCAAGGCAGTCACTCAATAACCTGACAGATACTCTCCTTAGAGATGAGAACAGCTACTTGCTCAGTTTTGTTTGGGTTTTTGTTTGTTTGTTTGTTTTTTTGTCTTTTAAAAGAGGGTCTCCCTGTAGCCCCAGCTGGCCTGGAACTCACTATGTAGACCAGGCTGGCCTCAAACTCACAGAGATCCACCTGCCTCCCAAGTGCTGGGATTAAAGGCAGGCACCGCCATGCCACCATGCCCGGCCTTGTTTGCTCAGTATTTATTCTGTCAAACTTTTTTTTTTTTTTTTTGGAGACAAGGTCTCGCTATGTAGCCTAGGCTTCCCTGGAACTCGCTACGTAGGCTAGGCCAGGGTTGAACTCTGCCTTCCTCTGCCTCCCAAGTGATGGATTAAAGACATGCACCACCACACCACACCTATTTTTTAGAAAAATTTGGGGGACTGGAGAAATGACTCAGTGGTTAAGAGCACTAGCTGTTCTTCCAGGGGACCTGGGTTCTGTTCCCAGAACTCACAGGGCAGCTAACAACTGTCCTTAACTCCAGTTCCAGGGGATCCAGCACCCCTCTGCTGACCTTTGCAGGCAATGCACAACACATGTGCACTTTATATACACATGCAGGCAATACACTCATACACATAAAAATAAACAAATATAAATAAATAAAAAATAAATATTTTTCCCATGATAGTCTCATTATGTAGTCCTCGCTGCCCTGGAACTCACTGTGTAGACCAGGCTAGCCTTGAAATCGCAGAGAGCTGCCTGCCTCTGCCTCCTGAGTACTGGGATTAAAGATATACACCACAATGCTTGGCAAAAATATTTTGTTACATTAAGAGTGTGTGTGTGTGTGTGTGTGCGTGTGTGTGTGTGTGTACATGCCACAGAGGTCAAAGGGCAACTTTCAGGAGTCAGTTCTTTTACCATGTGGGTCCCGAGGTTCCAACTCAGGCTTGGCAGCAAGTGCTTTACTTGCTCAGCCATCTCAACTGCCCATATTTGTGTGTGCTTGTTGGGACAAGGTCTCCCTCTGTAACCTTGAACTAGCTGGCCTTGAACTCACAATTTTTCCACAGTGTCCTGATAGAACTACAAGCCTGCACCACACCCCAGACTTTTACTGTTCTTAATGTTCTGGGACTAGAACCCAGGACTTCACACATACTAGACAAGCACGTCACTACAAGGCTTCACACCCAGCTCTGTCAAGCGCTTTTCTATAGATCTTTATAATTCTAATGTTTTAGCAAAATAAAATCAGTAATACATGCTAGTTAATTGGTAATTATATACTTAATTCTATTGTTGAAAATTTTCAGATGTTAACTGGGTATGGTGGCACACAGCTTTAAACCCAGCAGAGGCAGGTGGATCTCAGTAACATCAAGGTCAGCCTCATCTATAGAGTGAGTTCCATGTCAGCTGGGGCTAAGGGGGAGACCCTGACTCAGAAAAGATTAAAAAAAAAATCAGATGTTACAAATGAATCTGAAACCCCCCTAGATCCCATTGTAACCCCAGTGAATTTTGTAAATTATGTCGTGTTAGAACTGGCTTTTATCTTTGGGGCTGGAGAGATGGCTCAGTGGTTAAGAACACTGGTAGTTCTTGCAGAATACCTGGGTTCAAATCCCACCACATGGCAGCTAACAACTGTCTGTAACTCCAGTTCCAGGGGATCCGACGGCCTTTTCTGACCTCTGCCGGCATTGCAGGACACGGGTACATTTACCTACATGCAGGCAATACACGCATACACATAAAATAAAAATAATAAATTTAAAAAAATTTTTTAAAACTGGCTTTCCTGGGGCCAGAGAGATGGCTCAGCATGTAAAATCACTAGCTGTGCAAGCCTGAGGACCAAGTTCCATCACTGGAACCCAGGTAAAACACTGGGTGTGGTACACATCTGTCATCCCAGTACTCCTATGGGAGGCAGAGGCTGGAGACTCAATTTGAAGCTTTAAGCTAGCTAGCCTAGAGTATACAGTGCAGCAGCAGAAACAAGAGAGACCCTGCCTTAAGGTGAAAGGAGGAAATCAACTCTGCAAAGTTGTCCTCTGACTTCCACATGCATGACGTAGCACATGTGTACCTGTGCACACACATGCACATGCACTCGCATATACAAAAAGGACTACTCATCCATCTGTTTTGCATAGTTGTTTATTTTTATTTGTTTTCTTTTTAGACAGTCTTATTATGTACTCTAGGCTAGCCTCAAACTGCCATCCTCCTGCCTCAGCCTCTCAAGTGCTGGGATTATAGGTTTACATCACCACCCCCGACCTGTTAATGTGTTTTGAATCTCATTATAACCTTCTATTTTCTTGCCTCTGTGTATGTTATACTGTGTGTTGGTAGGGATCCAACCCTAGGCTACATGCATGCTAAACCCATGCTTGACCACTAAACTACACACCCAATTTTCTTTGTTGTTTGGCCCTTGTTTTTTTGGGGGGGCGTTAAAACTACATGACATAATTTTATTATGTGTTCTTTTTTTTTTTTTTTTCTGTTTTTGAGACAGGGTCTCTCTGTAGCCCCAGCTATCCTGGAACTCACTATGTAGACCAGGCTGGCCTTGAACTCACAGAGCTCTGCCTGCCTCTGCCTCCCAAGTGCTGGGATTAAAGGCGTGTGCCATGATACCTGGCTTATTATATGTTCTTAAAATAAAGATGAAACTCAAGAAGATTAGTATGATTTGTAGCCAAACTGGCCTTGAACTCCCTACATAGCCAAGGACCACCTGGAACCTGTGATATTTTTGCCTCTACCTCCCAAGTGCTAGGATTACAGGATCATTACAGCTGACCTGGATTTTTTTTTATTTTTTGAGGGACAGTGTCTCCCTATGTAGCTCAGGCTGGCCCCACTCCTCTATTTTGATGGCCATATAATGTTCAATGAAATTCCCTTTTCTTGATATTATAAACAGTACTACATTACACATCCTTGTAGCTATGTCTTTGCATGTATCAACAGTTTTGTTGTTGTTTTTTTAATATTTTTATTTTATGTATGTGTTTTACCTGCATGCATGTAAGTGCTCCCTGTGCATGCAGTGCTTGTGGAGACCAGAAGAGGGTTTCAGGTCTCCAAGAACTGAGTTACAGCCCTTCTTTTTGTTTGGTTTTCTTTCTCTTTGTTTTTGCTCGGGGACATTCTCCCTGTAGCCCCAGCTGACCTGGAATTCACTATCAGGCTGGCCTTGATCTCACAGAGATCCACCTGAGTGCTGTCTCTGAGTGCTGTGATTAAAGGTGGACACAACCATGCTTGGCCTGCATTTGCCGTTCTTGTAGAGGACCTCGGTTCAGTTTCCAGGACCCACATGGCAGCTCACAACTGTCTGTAACTCCATTTCCAGAGAATCCATTGTCCTCTACAGTACATGGTGCAGATACATACATTTCCAGCTAAGCATTCATCCACATAAAATAAATCTTTTTAACGTGTATGTGTATGCATGCCTGACCATGTGCATGCAGGTGCTCAAGGAGGTCAGAAGAGGTGCTGCAAGAGCACTGCTCTCTAAACCACTGAGCCGTCTCTCCATCCTCCAGCATAATGTTTTTAAGTGTCATCTATAGGCAGAATGCATCAAAATTTCAAGGCTTTTTAAGTCTGAGTAACATTCCATTGTATGTACACACTACACCATATTTATTCATCTCTTAGCAGATATGCGGGTACTTTCCACCTTTTGGATACTGAGTAATGTTGCTTGGGACTGTGTTCAGGTGTCAGTTTGCACCCTGCTTTCACTATCCTTTCAAGACAGGATATTGACATTGATCGTTTTCAGATGTTCCCGCTTTCTCTTAAACTCATTAGCTGAGGAAGGTGCTTGAACATGTGGGTATATTCAACTCCGTAGAATTTCTTCATATGTGGTTTCTTTATCTACCACATCCTAGCACCACAAGGATCCTTCAAGTCACTTATAACCACATCCATCCCTAACCCTGAGCAACCATAAATCTGATCTTCATTTCTAAAATGTTGCCATCGTTGCATGACAGGTGCACTCACATACATTCAGGCAATACACTCATACACATAAAATAAAAAAAATAAAATATTTTTAAAGGGGGGCTGGAGATCTGGCTCAGTGGTTAAGAGCACTTGCTGCTCTTGCAGAGGATCTGGGTTCTATTACCAGCACCCACATGGCAGCTAACAACCCTCCATGACTCCAGTTCCAGGGGAATGCAACACCCTCTTTTGACCTTTACGGGCATTGCACCACACAGGTACACTTATATACATGCAACTAATACACTCATACACATAAAATAAAAATAATAAAATATTTTTTTAATGTCATTGGGGCTGGAGAGATGACTCAGTGGTTAAGAGCACTGGTGGTTTTTGCAGAAGACCTGGGTTAGAATCCCAGCACCCACATGGTAGCTAACAACTGGCTGTAACTCCAGTTCCAGGGGATCCAAAGGCCTCTTCTGTCCTCCTCAGGCACAATATGGGTGCCCTTACCTACATGCAGGCAATACACTCATATATACATAAAATAAAAATAATTTTTTAAAAATGTCATTGTAGCCGGGTGTGGTGATGCATGCCTTTAATCCCAGCACTCGGGAGGCAGAGGCAGGCGGATCTCTGTGAGGTCAAGGCCAGCCTGGGCTACATAGTGAGTTCCAGGACAGCTGGGGCTATAGAGAGACCCTGTCTCAAAAAAAAAAATGTCATTGTAAAAATGTTATTTAAATATGATAACAAGGGTCAGGAAAATAGCTCAGTGGGTAGGCACGGTTGTTCCACAAACGTGAGGACCTGAATTCAAATTCCTAGCACTCATGTAAAAAGCCAGGGATGGCTGTGCTTGTCTATAACCCTAGCATTGGGGTTTAGAGACAGATCCTGAGAACTTGCTGGACAGTCAGGTTAGCAAAATGGTGAGATTCCAGTTGAGTGAGGGACCCTGTCTCAAGGCAGTAAGGCAGAGAGCAATAGAGAAAAACGCTTGATATCTCTGGTCTCCACATGAATGCACACCCACACATTCATGTGCATATGCCACACATACACACACACACACACACACACACACACACACACAAATGAAATACAAGCCAGGTATGGTGACACATACCTGTAATCTCAGCACTTGGGAGGCGGGGAAAGAAACATGTGTTTGAGGACAGCCTGGGCTACAAAGTGAGATCCTGTCTTGAAAATTCAAGGTCTGAGCTGGGTGTGGCAGCACACACCTTTAATCCCAGCACTCGGGAAGCAGAGGCAGGAGAATCTCTGTGAGTTCAAGGCCAGCCCGGTCTATATAGTGAGTCCCAGGACAGCTGGGGCTACAAGGAGACCCTGTTTCAAAAAGGCAAAAAAAAAAAAAGAAAAAAAGATGGGTCTGGTCTCTGTGAAATCCTGTCTCCAAACAGAAACAAAAAACAGGACTGGTGAGATGGCTCAGTGGGTAATGGTGTTTGCTGCCAAGCCTGACAACCTGAGCTCAATCCCTGGAAGTTGCACTGTAGAAGGAAAGCGGCAGCTCCCGAAAGTTGTCCTCTGACTTTCACATATGCTTCCTGGCACACATGTGCCCCCGAATAAATAAATAAAATAAAATAATTTAAAAGCAAACAGAAAAACCTGAAACGGTTGTGCATGGTAGTTCCCTAGCACTGAGGAGGCAGAGGCAAAAGCTTTACTTCAAGTTCCAGGCCAACCTGGGCCACATAGTCACTTCAGGTTTGAGTCCAGCCTGTCACACATAGTTCAAGGCCAATCTTGGCTATAGAATGAGATCCTGTCTTAAGAAAAAGAAATTGGGGCCATGTGTAATCCTAGGGCTGGGGAGACAGAGGCAGGATGGATCTCTGTGAGATCAGGGCTAGCCTGGTCTACATAGTGAGTTGCAGGCCAGCCAGGGCTATATAATGAGACCCTGTCTCAAAGAAAGGAAGGAAGGAAGGAAGGAAGGGAGGGAGGGAGGGAGGGAGGGAGGAAGGGAGGAAGGGAGGGAGGGAGGGAGGAAGAAAAAATGAAAGAGAAAGAAAATGGAGAGAGGGAAAGGAAGAGAAAGAAAAAAAATCAAGGCTGAGGAGATGACTCAGTGAGCAGCAACAACTTGATGTATAAACAATATGATCTGAGTTCAAAACCCCAACATCCATGTAAAAGAGATGGGCATGGCTTCCTACACTTGGAACCTCAGAGCTGTGGAGGACAGAGACGGGAGGATCACTGAGGCTTAGTGCATCAGCTTAGCAGCAGGTTCAGTGGAAGATCCTGTCTCAAGGGGATAAGGTGGAGCATGATAGAGCAGGACACCTGCCATCCTTCTCAGGCACACACATGCACACACACATGCAGATGCATACATACAACACACACACTAAATGATGATATCTCTTGTGGATCCAGAATCCAGTTCTCTGAGGATGTCTGTGGTTTGAATCTCTAATGTTTGACCTGTGGTAAGGCCTATAAACTCTTTTCCTCTGAGACCCTTACAGCTCCACAGGCCAGGAGGACTCTCTCCCTCCATCCTTCCCATTAGATCAGCCAGGGCTCTTGAACTCCAGACTGAAGAGAAAAGAGGTTTGAGAATGTGTACATGCATGTGTACAGGCCCATATATGTATGTGGTAGTAGGTGACGGGGGGAAACTGGCATGAGATGTGGACATCAATTCCCAAATGGCAGGAATAGCCTGCAATCAGAGCTAATTTTGGAAGTAAAGAACATGGGGTGCCTGGAACAAGGCCAGATGTGCTATGAGATACAGGACAACTAAGAGGGGAACAAGGGTCCAGGCTGTGGATGACCAGCCTTTTCCGCCAGAGCTGGCCACTTCTGCCTTTGGGTAAGGGTTTCGAAACGCCAAGTGTGTGAAATTGTGAGTGTGCAATTGGTGATGTGGAGTCTGTGGAGGTGGGAAGGGTGTGGGTTCTCTGATTCTTACTCACTCGTACCAGCATCCACAGAGGGAGACAGGCTGATGAACTGCCCTGCCTGGTGATCACACACAGAGAGTACCTGACATCTGTATCCTCATGATGCGTGAGTAGTGACCTCCAGGGACACGGTATGATTCAGAGGGACAGGGTGACAAGAAGACTAGGTTTTGGGGAGATATGAGGAGGCAAGGAAGACCCTGGTCCCCACAGGGGCCCTGGTCTGCTAACACACTGGAGTCAGACCCTTTTGCCCACTGAAACTGATGGAAGAGGCAGGGCCTGGGACCAAGGGGAAGAGCTGGGAACCTCAGCTTGCCCTTCTCTGAACTTCACAAATCTCCAGACGCAAGAGATCTGGATTTGGGAAGCTTTGTGCTCAATGGGAGGAAAGCTATTCTGAAGCCTCCACTTCAGAAAGAATGGCTGGCTGATAGAGGGGGCAGAGGCGATGGGAGGAGGCAGGAGAGGAGGCAGAAAGCTTGAACCCTGGGCTCTAGAAAGAAGCAGGACATTCACCATGCATCCCGGGGATTCTCACAGGTGACAAGAGCAGGCCCAGCTATGGCTCCATCTCTAGTCCGTCTGGTCGAGCACCTCAGCAAGTGCCTCCCAAAGAGACCTACCTGAGTGAGAAGATCCCCATCCCGGGTGCAGAACCGGTAGGAATGCTGGGGAAATCCTGGGCGCTTCCTGGGTCTACCAGATTTTCTGGAGTCTCATAGGCTGGGGAGAAGGCATCTCCTGTGACCATGGCGGTGGTTAGTTGGACACCCTGTAGTTGTCTGAAGATGAACAAATTGCTCTTAAGAGTGTCTCAGCATTCCCAGGAGGGGAAAAGAGCCTGAAGACTATTTCAGGATTAGAGGAAGGGATCACCCAGACAAGGACATGGGCAAAGGCTGGTTCTGGGATGCTGTCACTCTGTGTTATCACAATCTTTTATTTTGTTTTATTATTATTATTATTATTATTATTATTATTATTGGTCTTTTTGAGCATGGTCTCCCTGTAACCCCAGCTGTCCTGGAACTCACTATGTAGAACAGGCTGGCCTTGAACTCAGAGAGATCCACTTGCCTCTGCTTCCTGAGCACTGGGACTAAAGGCATGTACCATCACACCCAGCTTACTTTTTTTAATTAAAAAAATATTTTATTTATTATTTTACGTGTGTAAATGTACTGCCTGCATGTATCCAAGTACACCCATGTCATGCAATGGCCACAGAGGTCAGAAGAGAGCATTGAGTCCTCTGGAACTGGAGTTACAGACAGTTGTCAGTCGCCATGTGGGTGCTGGGAACCGAATCCCTTCTGCAAGAGCAGCCAGTGCTCTTAACCGCTGAGCCAGCTCTCCAGCACCCCACAGTCTTTTTTTTTTTTTTTTTTTTTTTTTTTTTTTTGTCTTTTTGAGACAGGGCCTCCCTGTAGCCCCGGCTGTCCTGGAACTCACTATGTAGCCCAGGCTGGCCTTGAACTCACAGAGATCTGCCTGCCTCTGCCTCCTGAGTGCTGGGATTAAAGGCGTGCACCACCATGCCCAGCCCCACAATCTTTTTTTAAAAACATATTTGATTCATTGATTTTGTGCATGTGCACGCGTGCATGCACATGTGGAGGTCAGAGGACAACTTGTGGGAGTCAGTTCTTTCCTTCTACCCTGTGGGTCTTAGGAATCTAACTCAGATTGTCAGGCTTTGAGGCAAGTGCCTTTACCCACTGAATTAGCTCATTGGTTCCATAGCCACAATCTAAGCAGCTGACAGGTCAAGCCCAGAAATAGGGTTGGAGACTGCAACCTCAGGCTTCCCCAGAGAGGAAGCCTTGTGGTATGAAAAGGGGCTGGGGAGGGAGGAGCTGGAACAGAGAGGTTTGGCTGCCTGAAGTCCCCTTTTCTGGGCTCTGAGATCTGCAGCAGTTAGACAGGTCAGGTATAGGGCAGCTGCTGAGGCTGCTGAATGTAACCCATCCAGAAAGCAGAGCCACAGTGACTCAGCACAGCCCACTAGTTCCCTACTCCAGGCCCTCCCAGAAGGCCCTAAGGGTGGAGCCAGCTTTGGATGAGTGATGCTGGGCAGGGTTGGCCAACCTGGGCTGTGGCGCCTGCTGAGCTCAACTAAGGAGCTTGCCAAGCACAGCTGTGGCCACCCCCATGCCCAAGACCCCCTCATTCTGCTTATACCCCCAGGGCACATTCAGCCTATGGAAGCTGTGGGCATTCACAGGGCCTGGCTTCCTCATGAGCATCGCTTTCCTGGACCCAGGGAACATTGAGTCAGACCTTCAGGCTGGCGCTGTGGCTGGATTCAAAGTGCTAAGTCTGGGCCTGAGTGATGGTCTTGGGTGGGAGGTAGCCTGACTATGAGGGTGAAGACCCCAGCTCGCCATGGAGAGCTGCATGCATGCTTTTCCTGAGAGCAGCTGTTAAGTTCAAGTGGGCCAGTAAATGGTCCCCAGGGCAGCCCCATAAGAATGGAACCTATAGTGAGGTGGCCTCCCTCCCCTCCCCTCCCTCCCTCTCCCTGTCTTGGGGTGGGGGCCATTCTGGTTGAAGGCCTCCTTTGCCTCCTCGCAGCTGCTCTGGGTGCTACTGTGGGCCACTGTGCTGGGCTTGCTCTGCCAGCGGCTGGCTGCCCGGCTTGGTGTGGTGACAGGCAAGGACTTGGGTGAAGTCTGCCATCTCTACTACCCTAAGGTGAGCTAGGAGAATGGGGATGGGTCATGGACAGGAAGCAACTGCAGGTCCCAAACCTTGAGCAGACATTTATAGCTTCCATGATCAAATAATTATATCGACCCCTCCCAGGCATTACTAGTTCAGCTGATAGATGAGAAGACAGGTTCAGGGACTGGAGAGATGGCTCAGTGGTTAAGAACACTGGTTGTTCTTGCAGAAGACCCAGGTTTGAATCCCAGCACCCACATGGCAACTAACATCTGTCCATAACTCCAGTCCCAGGGGATCCAACAGCTTCTTCTGACCTCCTCAGGCATTGCATGACTCAGGTGCACTTACCTACATACAGGCAATACACACATACACATAAAATAAAAAAATAAAATTAAATTAAAATAATTAAAAAAATTTAAAAAAAGAAGACAGGTTCAAAGTCATAGCATACAGACTAAGAGGGGCAGCAGCTCTTGGCTGGTCACTACTGGGCTGGGGACTTGGATGTTGTCAGTGTCCATTCAAGAGCACCAAAATTGCCAGGCATGATGGTGTATGCCTTTAATCCCAGCACTTTGGAAGCAGAGGCAGGAGGATCTCTGTGAGTTCTAGGCAAGCCAGGGCTACAGAATACGACCCTGTCTCAAAAAACAAAAACATAAAACAAATTTTTTAAAGCCCACCAAAATCACACCACAAGATATTTCAAAAGAATTTTTATTTTATATATTTAGTTTGGCAGTGATGGGGATCAAACCAGGGTCTCATGCATACTAAACAAGCACTCTACCACTGAGCTACAGCCCCAATACATTTCAAAGGGATTTAATGTAAGGATTTAACCCCTTCAGGTGTCAGAAAGGCTAGAGGGGTGAGGGCAAAAGGTGTCAGCCAAAACTGTTAAAGCCCTGCCCCCACCACCCTATGAGCTCAGCAGTCTGTCTCATTTTCTTCTAGAAGCTTGTAGCCATTGCTTAATGACCACGAGTGCTGCTAGAGCCAGTCTGCCTAGTGTACTTACTGGTACCACAGTCAGAATCACCATCAGACAAGAGACTCGGCTTCTCTCTGCATGCATCTCTGAGTTAGTCTGTTGTCTGTTGCTATAACAAAATCCATGAGGCTCAGTAATTCAGTTTATAAGGAAAAGTTTAGTTTGAAGATGTAACTCTTTGGTAAGCACTTGCCTATCACATACAAGGACCATGTTTAATCCCACTGGAAAGAAAAGAAAAAAGTTTAATTAGCTCACAGTTGTAGAGGTTCAAGGTACCAGCTTCTTTTCAGCTTCTTATTTTATTTTTGATTTTTCTGGTGCAAGAGATTGAAACTAGAGGCCTCAGAAATGCTAGGCAAGTGTTTTACCACTTTTTTAAAAATATATTTTTATTTTATATGTATGAGTGTTTTGCTGCATGTCGGTGCACCTGTGTCATGCAATACCTGCAGAGGTCAGAGGGGGGCATTGGATTTCCCTGGAAGTAGAGTTAGGGACAGTTGTTAGCTGCCCTGTGGGTGCTGGGAATCAAACCCCAGTCCTCGGCAAGAGTAGCCAATGCTCTTGACTGCTAAGTCATCTCTCCAGCCCTCAGCCCACTTTTTAACCTTTTGTCTTTGAGACAGGGTCTTGCTAAGTTTTCCAGGCTAGTCTTGAACTTGTAATTCCTTCTGTCTTTAGCTTCCCAAATAGCTGGGATTACAGGCCTGTGCCACCGAGACCAAGCCTCCAACACACAAACTTTTGGGAGACACTTAAATACCATAGCAAACTCCTGTAGGTACATCTCACAACACCTAACCGGAAGCCAGCTGTCAAATGTAGTTTGTAGGTATCCAGCCCTGTAGCACAGTGTGGAGCATGGAAACACTAGTGGAGAGAGAGAGAGAGAGAGAGAGAGAGAGAGAGAGAGAGAGAGAG